CCAACAAAACTAAAAAAACTAAGTGTATTCCTCCAACTTGTGTTATTCATATTCAGAAAATATTCAAAACTATTCTCAGCTTTTGATTTAGCAAGCAAGATCCCCCTCCCCCATATATATTTAAATATATACACAAACTAAACTGTACTACTGATTTATAGTTTCTATTTATCCTGTGCAAACTACTAAAATGAAAACAGGAGATTTTATTTACGGTGTACTTCCCAAATTGAAAAGATCCCCAGACTTTTCATGGATAACCAGCATGCGCATGCTGATCATGTGAAGCAGAGCCAGGAAGAAAGGAGTCAACCCCAAATGTGTTAATATTCTCCTTTCCTAAAATAAATTGTGTTTTGTTTTAGTTTCTTGCATTTACCATTCAATAGTCACAAAGTTAAAGTTAAGTTTGAGGATGCATTTTCATTCTGAGTAGGTCTTCAAATACTTAAGTTTCAAGGTCTTTTGGTTTAGGTTCGTTTTTTAAGGCAATTGGGGTGAACAAATGTAGGGGTGTTCCATGCATTAAAAATATTGCGGAATTTTTTTGGCTTAAATAATACAAAAACAAATTGCTTTTCAAGTTTTGCCCAGTTGTGTTGTGAAAATGTTGCCCTGATTCTACAATAAAACCTGTGATGGCTGACCGCTGTGAAACATAAAAAAGGACAGGAGCTGTTATATGAAAAAGAGTAGAGAAGAGTTAAGGCCACATATTTGAAAAAAATCAATACATAATTTACTAATCTATACAAACTACACGTGCTGAAGTCTATACTTCCCTATATATGCACACTGTAAATGTGTTCAATCCATGCCACTGTTGAAGGACTCTACTCACATCCGCAAAGCAGAGTCATAACACTGTGCAGTTATCTGCATGCTCAAGCACAAATTTCTCCCAAAGTCCACAAAAGCAAATGACTGTGGGTGACTGGCAACACGCTCGACGTCACAAGCCCATAATGGCAGGAACTGTTAATATTCATCTCCATCCAATCGCCAACGAGAGCCAGCGAGATGGGCCCAATGACAGCAGGAGATGTGCGCTGAGCGCTGCTGTTGAAGGCAGCGGCTGTGTCGGGCGGTACCGCGCTGCAACTAAGCGCTGCAAATCCGCGGCTGGCAGAGACGGCGCAGCTCAGAGCTCAAGGCCGCTGCTGGCAGGGTCGGTGAAGCACAGAGCTCGGCAGGAGCGCAAGGCCACGGGCCGGTTAAGCAGACGCCTTCTGGGCGGATACTGGAGGCCTCGGGTCTGCGAGGCTGGGCTCCCCGGTGGTAGCTCATCAGCTTCTACCAGGAGTCGCAGCGGCCCTTGCCGCGTTTTCGGGACTTTGCAAACTCCGCCTCGCTGATCCCAGAGCACGAGCCGGGCGAAGCGGATACGCCGCACCGACCCCTACAGCCGCTGACGAGTAACCACGTGCTCGGATGAGCGGA